AATAAAAATATAACTAATTCTTAATTTATTATTGTTATTTGTTATATTTTTTATCGAGGGGGTAGTGGGGCTTTGCACAGCAGAACGCACGACTTTCGGTGCAGAGCTGGATGATGTGTTGTCTGCAGACGATTCAATAAAAAAAACTTCGTTGCCTAGCGCAGAACTAGTTGGTGGCTATGGCAATGTTTCCGTACAAAATTAGACATGCGTCCAAACACTTCATTCAATAGTTCAAAATGTGAACAAATTTTCGTAAGTTTCGCTGAAATTGATAAATAGATAAATTAATTCACAAATGTATATGTATATAATATTATATTTGTGAAAACTTAATTAATGGTCACATCGATTTAAATTATTGAACGAAACGCATGTATATAGCATAGCCATAGATTAACATATCTCGAAATTTTACTAACAGTCAATTCAAATTTAAAAATGAGAAGCAACAAATGACAAAACAGCTGATTTCCGCCATTTCTGGTTTGTTGCAAGCAAATATACATAGGTTTCAGCATTGGAAGATTGCACGCAATTGCACGAAATTTTGTGCGTGTATTTTGTTGTTGTTATTTGCATTCTCGTACAATCTGTGCATTTCGTGCACCTTGCAATGAGTTTGCAAGAGAGAGTGAATACCCCTAATGTATTTGCAAACTGTAAATGAAGGGTATCGATGCTTCAACAAAGCCAAAGTTGTTTGGTACCTTCCTTTTTCACTAAAATGTTTATGATTAATTGTCTTGCCGTATATTTATCTCAACTTTGAAGATGAAAATGTCTATTCTTGAAAAATTTTATGTTAAGTTAAACAAATGACGCTAATAATGTCAAGTATTTCCTTAACATAAATGATCTATTAAAACCATAATGGAATGTGTTATAATTTTGCAAATTCTTTACCTGTAAATATTTATATAATAATTCAAACAAAAATAGATAATAACGGTACATCTTATGTATTATTATTTCTTTTCTATTAATATCAGTCATTACATATTGATAATTAGAATTATATAATATATTTTTGTTATAATTAATAAAACAGTCACTTTTGAAATTTACTATAAATTGGACAATTAGATATATGACATGCAATACAATATTGCATGTCATACAGTTTACTAAAGGCACGAAAATGTAATACTAATACTAATACTGTTTAAAAACAAACATTAAGTATATGTTTCTTCTAATTTTTATATATAGTTATATATAGTAACCGCATCAAGCTAAAATCCATATAAGTAGATGAAGATGAATTTTACAAGGAACATATACACATATCATAAAAATTTTAAATTATGTTCGTGATTCCACTTAACGTGTGATCCCAGCTGGTCTATAATTTCATTTTTATTATATATATATATTTTGATTGGATAAGAGTAACTTTATATAATCATCACATTAAACAAATAATAATTAAAGAAATTTAAGCTTTATTTATAAACTATTCCCGTTATTTCTTCAAAAAACAATGATGTGTTCTACTTAATATTACTTAACATTGCTCTATATTTGTTATATATTATTGGCAACGCATTTCTATTAAAAATACCTTTCAGTCTTCTTTGTGACCTAAACTGTAATACCTTTTACTTCATTATGATAGATAATGATAAAAAGTTAGCAGAAGTCTCGTTTGGTCATTATGCGATTATTTCATTTTTCTTTGGTGATCATCTAGGAAGAGTACCGTGCTCTTCAAAATTTTATATTATATTATATTATATAATTACAAAGTGAGTACTTTAATTATACACATTAATATTATTGTTAATAGGGATCGGAAGCTCTTCTGTATTTTAGTTCCTTTTATTAGTATTTTATTCAAACGATGTAACAGTCTTCAGAACCTTATATTCGCTGCTTTATTGCAAGATGCTGGTTGGAGTTGTATGTCCAGTTTATTATTGAACTGAGATCTTTAAAAAATCTTGACGTATGTACTTGCAAGTATTTTGCATGCGAAAGGTAAACCTGTATTGAATCGTAAATAGCCTCAACATTTTTGTTTTGACTTCAACAAACCGATTAGTTTTGGAGATTGAGACGATTTACAAGAAATTTGCCTTTCACAGCGTAGCGTAAGTTAGAAATGGAATTGCATAATAACCATATTAATATTTTTTCAGCAAATGCATACTCAGTAATTATAAAGTATCTAGAATTTTTCTAAGAGTTCAGCCAACTTTGTTATATCTCTACCAGAACATACAAATAGTTTGTTTGTAACCAACACATTTGATATATTCTCCATTACCTTACATTACATTAATAATGCAGACCACATGTGATCAAGACCATATGTGTCTTGGGTTCGAGAAGTAAATCTTCAGCATTATATGTCAACGATGAGAAATATGAAGAGGAAGAATACGAACTTTCTCTAGTTTTTGCAATTGTCCAAATCAGTAACATCAGATAAAATATTTGCATGCAATATGCATATATATATATGTAAATACATATATTTATTCAACACTTTGTAATTTAAAGTAATTAATTGTACAGAAAAGGCGATGTAGTGCAGAAAATTATAGACAAATGAATATTAAAGAAACAAAAATATGTCATGAACATCAAATTTTATTCAAAAACACTAAGTGAAATTAATACGGATGATATTTTTTTCTTGTCATGTTTCTAAACTAATTACTAAACTAATAATTTTCTATGTATTTGGAAGTGCAATATGATTTCAAAAGTTTATTTTCCCATTACCTAAACTATTTTATTCCTAATATCCAAAATATTGTAGAGAAAAACAAATGAAAATAGAAAACATTGAAGATAATTGAAACTAAACTTTTCTTTTACTTCAACTTTTAGCTTAATACTGAATTTTTAATATGAAAACTTTCTCTTTAATTTTACTGACCCAGAAATAAGTTATAAGAAATTGTGTATAAAAGTACTTTGTGCACAGTTCAATCAACAAAAAATACAGATAATCTATCTTAAACACATTTGGTTATATTAATAAAGTAAGTTTTCTTGTAGATTAAATAAATTTAATGAATTAGTTAGTTTTCTAAAACAATGATAACAACGATAACAATGATTATTATATTGTGTCTCTGTTCTAAGTACGGCACATAGGTATTGTTATCATTTTAAATTTTAAATTGATTTCATTTTAGAAATAGCTAATTCTTTTATTCTATAATCAATCTACATTTGTTTACTCGCGATTTATTGTTATCTTTCAAGTCTAATAATATTGTTATACGGTCAAAACCTAGACCATATGCATTTCTGTATATTTTGTACAGCTCTCATTTGCCAAGTTCCAACAAACAAATCAATATTGTATATTTTCTGAAGCCACCTGTTATCCAACTCTCATCTTGACACGAGTTTATGAAAGCGCTCAATGGAGTTGTGATATATATACCACAAATCAGTCTTTTACTTATTGATGCTCCACAGATTTCCTGATGCTCGACCTTAAAGGCTTAAGTTTACGTGCAGTACTTTTATTAAAGAAACAGTTTAAATTAAATCCAGATTCGTTGCCTATTTTTATAAAGTTAACTATTATCAAGTATTTAGCGAATACTACGTATCCGTTAAATTATTATTTCCGTTCCCTGAGCTTCTCATGCAGCTTCTTTAGATTCCCAGAAACCTTTCACACTTGCCAGTTGCAACATGTTTCTTGTCATAGAAATGTTGCCAAAAAATGACAACAAAGAGGTGTGGAATAATGATATGTTTCATGTGGAATAATTCTGTAAATATAAATATATAAAAGATAGAAACGTTAATTTTGTTATTTAGAAACTAATATTTTTTTAATTATAGTATATAAAATATGGAAACGTTAATTTTGTTATTTAAAAACTAATTATTTTTTTAGTATAGTGGAATTCAAATTCATATTATTTATTGTATATATTTGGTAAATATAACCTTAATCAAATATATTAATTTATATGTAATTAATTTTCTCAGTAAATTTTACATCTTTTAGAAACGTTATATACATTTTTTGCTTCAAGAACTTCTTTAATGTCCTTTAAATCCATCGCTATCTTTTCAAAGTACTCTCCTTATAACTCAATACAATTAGTTACTGGTTCTTTAAGCGAATCGTTGAATTACCGCTTTAAATCAACGGACGGAATGTCTTTTAATATTTAGATTTAAGGCTTACTCTTCCACAAACGATCTTTCATAAGCAAACACTATTTTCCGAAAAGATTTAAGAGTTATATGATGTCTTATCTGATAAATACGCCCAGTATCTGATTTTACTAACGAAAATAATGCAAATAAATGGTGTTACTTTTTTATTATAAATAGCATTCTACATTCAATCATTAACACGACATACAAATTTGTCAAATGGGTGCTTTATATCGTCGGACGGAATTTGGAATTTGGAAAATCGATTTAATCATTTTAGATGGATATTATGTTAAAAAAATACTTACCTTTTAATAAATATATAGTATTTACTAAAAGGTACGAAAGTTGCACGATTCTTATTCTGATAAGAACGCGTAATATCTGAACTTACCAATGAATATAAATTCCAATAGATAGTCTCCCTATAAATATATATTTTTCAAAATATTTACTTATATTCCACGGCATTTTTTTTTATAAACACTATAAAGTGTGAAATAATATGGTGATCCCAAAGAAAGTATTGAATATGAACATTTCTTAAAGTTCCTACTTAACACAAGATGGCGCGAATCAATCTCAATTCTCTGACATTTTTTTTTATTTATCATATTTGTCTAATATACTCTTCTTTTTTAGTTTTGATTTATTGCTCCCTATTTGTTTATTCGTATATCAAAAACAATAATTAAAGATTTTGTTTTTGCAAAAAGCTCTTTGAATTATATATACAAAACCGCGGATCGAATTAGTTTACGCGCGTGAATTGTTGAAATAAGTCTGAAAACAATAGTCTAAATAATTTTCACGAAGCTACAATCAATAAATTAAACTAAATCTATATTATTATAAACATAATAATGGAAACTACAAAGCCTTTAACGAATGTGTCCCTTGAATCTTTTTATGAATATTTAAAGCAAAACCCATTAGCTGTAGTACCGCAATTTAATTTCGACAACCTCGAACACAATATAGCGCAGGAAATGGAACGATATAAAAAAGAATACAACAAAGGCGAGGAACAATTCGTTACACAGATGTTAACAGAGAATCCCATTGCAATACCATCTCGTACAGCAACGAATTTTTATACCTCCAGTTCAGAAGAATCAGTTGATGATCACTTACGACGCAGACGCTCTGAAGCCTCCCGCAAATCACGTTTCCAAAGTAAAATCAACAAAGCCAAGTATAGGTATCGCCATCAATATATTTGTGCAAACAATATGAAGAATATAAAAAAGTTGGAAAACCTCTGGAATGTCATCAGACTTGCAGAAACTGAATTATTAAATAAAGGTTGCAGTACAAATGAATTGAGGCGATTGCGGACTAAGTGTGGCATTGATCGATTACAAAGGAAGAACAATGTAGAGAAAGATGACAATATGCGTAACATACACTCATAGCATACCAACGTAATTAAATAATTCAAAAATAATGTTAAAAATTAAAAAAATTATAAAAACATAAAAAATAAATAAAAAATAAAATTTACTAAAATAATAGAAAGAATGCCGTTCAGAAACAGTATTGCTTCAAAACCAACGACCCTAATTTTTCAATATATAAATTTTTGCACCTATTAACAAAAATAAGTTCTAGACAACAAGCCTAAGTGGTGTTTAATTATAATTTATATCAATTATAAATTAAACATTACAATACCCCAGTTCTTTGTCACTTTTCTTAACAAAAGGTTTTGACTTTGGTTTAAATATATTGAAAGATGTATTGAAAATATATATCAATATATATATATATTGAAGAATATAACATTTTTTAACTTAAAAATAAATGTTTTAAATATATAGTTCTGATATATATATTTTCATATTAAAATCTATTTCATTCAATGCTATAGAATTATTTAATTTAAGAATATATCTTTAATATTGATAATATATAAAGAGTTCTCCAAAGCATTATATCCACAACAATCCATAGTTGTAGCGACATGGATTTTATTGTTTTAGTAGCTAGGATATTAACAGTTCCTGATCTAATTTGTTTAGAAAATCCACAGACATTATTATTAAACTGCTTTACCAGACTTAGTTTTGTTGTTAAAATATATCGCAACTAAATTAGATCTCGTAACGCTTAGATAGATATGTGCAGTTTTGCTCAAATATAGCGTGGGAATATTATAAAGCGGAGCTGTCGGAAGCACGGCCCACGCGCCTCATGTGGCCTGCAGTTAATATTTGTACGGCCTGCAACATATTTCTAATCTACCATTATTAAGCAACTTTTTTTATGTTGTATTTTAGTAACAATACATTATTTTATTTATGCCAAATAAATAAATTAAAATATTTTAAATAGTTTTTTACATTTCACGTTAATTTACTTAATTGACAAAGACTTTAGTACGTATTTCTTGGTATAACATTATTTTAAGATCACATCAAGAATTTAATATTTTTCATATGGCAACAACTTATATTAATAATGTTGATAGTGATAGAATTGTAAAAGATAAATTAATAAAGAATTAATAAAACTAAATTTAACGATCTTGCGATCTTATCTAGTCTGAACAGCCCGGATCTAAAGTATTCGTGCAGTCTTTAGGGCATTCTATTTCTCATATGCTCTTCACTTCAGTCATCATATTTAATGCATAAAAATTAACCTGGTTGTAGCTTAGTTATCGCTTTATCATCCTTAGCTTTTTTTAAGCAAAGTTATATAGGCCCGCGCTCAATACAATTCGGATTGACCTCGTCTTGCCTTGGGTGATTTCACAATCTGTTTAAAGAACATTACAAAAATAAAAACATATAAATATTGTTATGTTTAGTAAGGTCTCTATACCACACGAGTGTATTAATTTTATTTTATAATTATCAATACTTAAATCTAATATCATATATATATATATAAAGCTTTTCAAAAGAATAAGTAAGTTTAGTGAAATAAGTAAAATAATCAACAATAATATATATTTTTACTCTTTCAAATCAAAGCAAATATTTTAAGTCGAAAACTATTGTATTTATGGATCTTATTCATTCTTTAATCTAACCTAAATGAACCTATGTGAATAAATGAATATTCAAGACCTGTTTATTATAAATGGCTGATTAAAGATTTTACTATTTTTTTAATTCAACCTCGTTAGTCAATTAAACAATGTTTAATTTGAATATATGACGATTTTTTAAATTAAAATTCAATTTGCGACAAAATTGAAATTGGTGGGCTTATTTTCAACGGTTTTAGATTAATATGGGTCTGCTGAACTTAGGTTTGCTACCCGTTTTTTTTATAAATATCTGGGTCCTTGGCAATAACAGTTTTAAGTTAATAAAACTATTATTTTATGTTACTGATTTTAAAGGGATAATAAGAATTTTATTTTGGGATTTATGAATTTCATGCTTTCAGTAAATTTGTTACAAATAAATGGATAAACATTATTGCTTCAAATTCTTTTTCCCTTTTCTCAAATTCCTTTACTACCCACACAAAAAAGGATTTTTCTTAAAATCGAGCAGTAAAAAAAAGACTATTTAAAGAAATATTTAAAAAATAATATCCGTCAATATATGATATTATTTTTTTTTGTAATTCAAATAAATTTATTATTGATAATAAATAAGTACCAACCCTACAAATTTTAAATTTGTTTAATTTCAATTTAATTAAAATTTTGAATAATTGAAGTTAATTATAACGAAAGAAATGATTTTCTTAATAGAATTTATTTAATAATCGAAAGATTTTTAAGCAATAGTCACTAATTTTTAATTTTTTAAGCTAATAACTAAGGAAATCCTTGTCGTTATTTGAAAAATTATGTAAAAATAAATTAGTACAGCACTTTTTTCACAAAACGAAATACTTGTTAATAATTGACAACTCTATAACATCAGCAAATTGAAGTTTTTGTTTAAATTATGTTTTACGGAATCTTAGAGCTTAAAGTATAAATTAAATATATAAAAATTTAATATATTTAATAATAAATTAGTTATAAGATAAACTACAGTATTTATAATAATATATAGTTGTTAGTTATTTCTTTTATTATTTTTACTTAACTTAAACAATAAACACCATTTTTATCCACTCTATTTCACAGATAAATAGTTTTTATTTAACTACTATAATACACATTACTGGCATTATAGTTTGTAATTAATTAATAATTATTTTTAATCTAATTTTATTCCGGCAACCGCGCAATTCAGCGAATTCGAAAAGACTGAAAACATTTCCATATTACTTATACGTAACGCAGGCCTCTTTGAACTTGAGTGCTTTCATTTGCCGCCAAAAAATTTATGAATGAAAAGCTTAACAACCAAACCAAAGAAGGAAAAGCACTCGCTAATAATAAAACTCATTATAAAGCTTCTTTGAGCACTTTATGCCATTTACCGTTAAAGAAACTGTTATAAATAAGGAAATCCTATCAGTTTTATTTTTAAATAAATTTACTCAAATTAAATTAAATATAATAATTTTCAAAACTGAATTGATTATAATAAAGAAAATGCTAAATAATCTCCATATAAAGCTTTAAAAATTGTCTCTACTAGAAAGCTACATATAAGAGACTGATATATATCTCGTAACCGCTAGCCATAGGGCAATCAAAACCTTAATTTATCCATAGATTATATCATTATTAATCTTGTTCTATGTCGCAGTGCCGGTTTTAGCACTATCGGCGCCCCTGGGGGAGATTTCTACGTCGCCTCCTATCTGCTATAAAATCATGTAAAAAAGCGAGAAAAAAAATTATATGAAATGATAACAGTAATGAAATTATAAAATAATACTTTGTCATAAAAATACTTTTCATTATATGTAAAACTAATAGTATAAATTTGAGAACAACAAGGCATAATAAATCTCATATAATGTATTTTTATATATAACAAATATTCATGTGTACTTTCTTAATAATTTTAAACATTTATTCTTGGTAATACTAATAAAATTTTACTTTTCTGGCGTTTCTATCGGCAAACTCTCTTACTACTGCATAAAAGTCTATGTTTTGTGCAATTTCGTTTTCGATTGACAAACTTGCCAACTTTGTTAACCTAGGTTGAGACATTGCACTGGACCCGCAGTTATGATATAATCAATTTTTTTTATTATTTCGCACTAAGTGGCCAAGTGGTTGGATCTGATATATTCCTAATAACATCACTAACGTCAATGTTTTTCCCATTGGTGTCTAGTTCTTGTAATTGATCACTAGTGCCAACATTTTCAGTAAAATGTGACTCTATAGCACAAGAAGCTTCTTTCGACTTTTGGGAAACTTTGTCGGAAACATCATTTTGCATTTGTGATTTAGAGGCACGCTTTGATTTTTTATTGTAATATAATTATTAATGTTCATAAACTTTTTAGTTTTTTTAAATTTAGCTTCTTTTTGCGGCTACCGTTTTCTATATTGGGTTCCAAAACGCTTACTTTTTACTATACATTCTACTCAAAAAATACCCGTATTTTATAAATAAAACACACAAATTTAAATTTTATTCCAAATTTATTTCATCTCCTTCAAAATATGCTCCTTCTGAAGCGATACACATATGCCAACGCTTAACCCAATCTTCCATACAATTTTCGTAGGCCCGTGAGGGTATGGCTTTTAGTTCCATCAGCGAATTCTCTTTTACCGATTCAATCGACTCAAAACGCTTACCACCTAGAGGCAATTGGAGTTTCGGAAACAGGAAAAACTCGCACGGATCCAGATCTGGCAAATATGGTGCCTGAGCGATGACAGTGGTCCGTGTTTGGTCAAAAAATCGCGTACAACAAGAATTTTCTATAGTAAAAATCGCTAAATGCTCTTAAGGTAGTTTCACATTAACAACTGCTGTAAACAAACTAATTGACAGATGGCGCTCAAATTTGTATCATATGTCAAGAAAGGGTGTACCAACATAACAAAAATAATAAAATTTTTGAAAGAGGTCTATTATTTAAGGAGCAGTTAACAAAACAACAAAATTTTGAGCAAAAGGTATAAACAAAATGTAATAAATAACTTTAGTTTAAGTGCGGTTGGAAGTGAAAAAATTTAATAGAAAACTATTTTTTACATCGGTCTGGTGCCCCTTTACTTTTAGCGCCCCTAAGCCGTCGTACCACCTCGCCCACCCCTAACGCCGGTACTGCTGTGTCTTATCCCTAAAATAGATTAGTGTATATAATATCTATGAAGTACCAGAACACATGAACTTACATGACGCAACCATGAACTTTATAAGTTATTCCCTAGGAAGGATCAAAATCGATACTCCTATCTTACTTGTTACCGCAAATTGTTGAATATGTAAGAATGCTCACAGACTATAATTTTTTTAGTGACTTCATAGTAAGAATTATTAAATTTCTTAAATCAGCTTATAAATTTTTAATCATTTTATTAAAT